ACATATTTCTTAATGCTTTCTTTGAGATAAAGAGAGGCATTTGGCAATATAAAAACACAGTAAAACCGCCTGAGAATAGAATAGAAGTACTTTCCCATTGCATTTACGCTTTTGCAAATAACGTAATATCCTGTGAATTTATTAAACGCATTATTTTTGATTGAGCATCTGTTTATAACACTTTCTCGATCTCTCACCAGATGCCTAACCTCGTCTTTATATTAGCTAACAATTATTAAAAATTTAATTGATACACATTTTAATTGGCGGTTTAATAAAAATAGCTTTTATGCGTACCTGCGTTTTAAATTTTGATTGTGTGCCAATGGCTACTTTCTTTTTTTATATTGGTTTGAACCCAGAAGAGTGTGGTGTTTTATGGCGGCAATTAACCATTAGTCTTTATGTTTGGTTGCTACTATGCATGACAAATGATTCATTTAGTTTCGTTTATTCAAACTATTAGAAACTACATACTTCTTGATTATTTGCCAATAATTCGTCTTTTAGTAATATGCTTTCCAACTTTTAACTGTTTAACACTCGGCTCAAGTGATTTTTAAACAATATTTGTATTATTTTCAAAATCCCTGAGCGTGAAAAGTGTCCTTGTACAATCCTGTATGTATACTAATATTCATATGTAGACGGCGTTATGCATCACTAGACCAAGCGCCAAAAATTGATTTTCACATATTTGACTTCAAAGTTTTAACTCTATTAATATTCAGTATATGTGTTGGTGAAAAACAAGCCCTGTTAAGTCCTGAACAAGTGAAACTGAGATAATGGGGTATTTCTATTTTTACGCAAATAATATTGTTTATAATCCTCTTCTTTATTATTTTACTACTTCTGCTATGTTCTCACGTTGTTTTAAAGTGATTTTAGTAAAATAACACAAATAATTAATCCAAAATTGCAAATTATATTTTGGACATATTGAAATTTGTTTTAAAATGATGGACTTATTAATGTTTGAAATAATTACTTGGACTTATTGTAATTTGATTTAAAATAGTTTTATATTGTTTACAGATGCGAATTAAGGTTAAAAAGTCATGTTTGTTGAAAATAATCTTTATTTTTAGAGAAAAATGTTAACAAAATTAAACACAATATGAAATATTGTGAAATTGATATAAATTCTAATCTAAGAATCTAATACTTCTTCGATTTCTGCTCCTCCTATATCTATGAAATCTTGTGCATTATTTTCACAACCAGTTTCATTTCCAGATTGATCTGAGGTGTTATTAGTAAACAGTATATTTTTATAGAATTTTAATTCTTCAAAATTTTGAAATTGGTCTCCGAAGTGTTTCGTAAGCAAAGTTTTGACATCTTTTATTTTACTGGCATTAGCAGTGTTTCCTTGTGTTAACTGCTGCAGTTTCTTCTCAGTTAAACCTTTTCCAGGCTTCAGAAGTGTTTTTTCCTTACCCATGTCGTTACTATATATTTCGCCTTGGGACCGTGCAAGTTCGGAACAGCGACACCTGGTGTCGTAAATCAGTAAAATTTACTGCGCTTTCATGTTATATCGAGGTTACCGGATAACTGTCAAGGACGTAGCCCCAAAAAAGAATAAGAAGAAAAAGTAAGATTGAGGTAATGTCGGTTATGTTATTAAAAGCATTAAAAGGTAAACGTTGTTGGTAGTGTAAATACAAATAAATATATTATTAAATTACAGCATTACTGTTAATATGGATGCAATAATAAAAACTGGATTTGAGAAAGTAAATCACCAAATAACTTTTCAACCAAGCACTGAGTCAAAGGGAAAAGCTTTAGTAGTGGCAAATGTCAAAAAATAATGGAAGAATTATGTGGAAGAATTAAGAAAAATAAATTACCATAAATAATTCTAATGCATAAATTAGCAAGTTAAGCCCATGATATCATCATATTGGTTTGAACAATTAATTCTATCCCTGTAAACTTTTGGACAGCGAATATATCTTAATGCATCTTCAGAAAAACTTAAACTTGATGCATTTTTGTAAACTTCAAAAAAATAAAATTTAAACATTAAACTTTATTTTTGTGTTAAAATTCTAAGTGAAGGTTCTGAAACTAAAATTTACACTTAAAAGTGAACTTTTATTTATTATTTATTTCATACTGATTTAAAATCGGGCGCAAGAATAATGCTAATTTAGGTTATGTTACTTATGCTTTTTTATTATATAAATCCACTTTTCTCTTTGTAGTAGGTAGCTTTGTGCTTCGAAGTTGGAAACGAATAAAACTTAAATTGACAATTTTTTGTTGTATTTTTACAATTTATAACACAGCATTTCCTAAATCCCATTTTCTTCAGTGACAGAAGGTGTAAATAAACAAACGAATATGACAATTGATAATATGAATTTATGAAATCTATGAAATTTGCAGTAAATAATGCAAGATTTCTCCGCTACTCGCGCACGATCGTTTCTCGTATCCTCTCCAAGTACTTGCACGTCGCCAATATTCTGTGGTAGCTTGGTTATTATAATTCTTTTGCATTTCTTAATTTGAAAATGTCAGGCTTGTGTTGATTTTAGAAACTCTTTGCACTGCTCTTTAAAGTCATAATCAGGAATATCTGCCATTAACCGATATATAGTCGGATGCTGTCGCATTATGTCTATATATTGTAAAGGAACTACAATTTTTTGTAGTCTGACCACAAAATTACTTGTTTTGCAGAAGTAAATTTTCTTCAATGTATTTCTTAAGACAACTCCCTACTTCCTGGGCTCCCCGACCAGCTTCACCTTCTATCCAAACATAAAAATGACCTTTGTTATCCTTGCCGCTATGGATACCAAGATTGTGAATACATAATTGACGCTTTTAATATACGATATTTATTGGAATTATGGGAAGGGGAAGAGTTTTTTCTAAATCAAAACAAAAGGTTTTCACTTCTGGTTGATCGTTGCTCATCTTTAAGTCTAGCTTGCTTCTAGATTGTGCATTTTCAGCTTTTTCTAAGTACATTTTTTTCATTTTTTTGTCATTTTTTTTTCTTCCTTTAACTTGCCTAATTTTTCGTTATCTGCGCAATTTTTTATTTCTAATTCAAAACAATCACATCTACTACAAGTATCTTTTTTCAACTTTTTTCTTTGAAGATTAAATCGTGTTAAACATATTTTTTTGTATAACGAAAATTTAATGGGATCATTGTCTGCTTCTTCAATATATAATTCATACATTTTACTAAATATTGTTTCTTCTGTTAAGTATTCTCTTTCTGTGTTAGCTTTTCTGTAATATGACTTGTTCTTAGGGAATTTCGTTATGTGCTCAATTACTTTCTGTACACAATTATCCTTAATGTTGTTATGACCTCCACTTTGACCACGACAATTTCGAACACCCATTGGACATTTCATAGCTTTCTATGCTGCATTGACTTTGCAACTTGATATTCTCAAGGTCTGTAAAAAGAAAGGTTTACACACTGTCACAGCGGATATTGTGTATATCCTTGTAGTATTTCTTTTGTTGCTGATTTTTGTTCTTTTACGCTGTTGGGACTTCGGAAATAGTTGAACAAATTATAGCTCTCTTAATTTTATAGAAAAAGTTAAGCAATAACTGACTCTACTTCTTAACCTAAACGCCTCAACAAGTTATTGTCAACAACATTTATGTACGTATGTTGCCAAATATTCGATTTACAATAATTAAAACGCTCACTAGAGGCGCTTGGTCTATTGATGCAAAACTATGACACAAAATTAGTCGCTTGGTATAGTGATGCAAAACTCAAAATCCAGAATAAGAAGAAAGGCACTTGGTCTTTTTAGATATATCTGGCTAACCGATACTAAAAGACTAATGAGATTTATTCTGTGGGTAGTTTATGCTATTTCCCTTCAAAAAGCGCCACAATCTACAATTTGAGAAAATGTTAATAAACAAAAAAAAAGTTTTATTTTCGTACTTTATTTTTCTAAGAATTGCTAACTTTAGTGATCTGATCTACTTCTGGACGACATTATAGTTATAAATATAATATAAAATATTATTCTACCTTCTTCTTTTTTAAAAGCCGCCTCCCAATCGAAGGTTGGATAACATCATCACGATCTTGCCTGTCTTGGCATAATTGCCTTCTTGTATCATCTTACAATTGTCTCTTCTTAATCTGCTGGTGACTTACACATATAGTCTTGTCTTTGCTCGTTTAAACAATATATTCACTATAACAAAATTATTGTTCTGGTAAAATTCAACAAGCCTGTCATCTCTTTCGTTTCTATAGCCTAGATTGTAGATTATTCTACTTTTTCATTCTCAACTTTTGCGTTAAATTGTGAATTGTGTAATTATAAGGGACGAAAATTATTTCGACTCTTCTTGTGGATAAGTCTTTGTCGTATTGCATACAACTCTGGAGTGTATGAAGTAGTAATTTGTTTAAATTTAAATTTTAAGGACGTATTTGGTGTGAGAATAGCTGCACCAACACCGTCCCATGATTTGGATGCGTTAGTGGATTTTTGTTTGTTTGGATCTCACTTTTTTGTATATACTGAGATTTGTATTAATATTGCGAATTGGTATTAACTAAGGTGAAAAGATTAGAAAATTTATTGGGAACACGTTATAGGTTTCTTCTAACTCTTCATAACATGATGAATCTAATCTTGCTATAAACAAAGTGTCTTGATGAGTAGTGCGCTTTTTATTATTAGGAGAATGAAATAAGAGACATAGATATATTTGCATCGTAAACTTGGGGGTGGTTCTCTTGTTAGGCATTATAAACTTTTTACTGGTATCGTTTGAAACGCGCTTGTAGCTATTCGTATATCTGTGTTTTGCTAGTAACAATCTTTCTCATTTTTTGTAGTCAATTTCCTAAATCTTTGGAAAAACTGCTTTTTTTCGTCGCTACCAATTAATGAAAAGCCCTTTTTCGTTTGCGCTTGAACTGGGGTACCAAACTTTTATTAGATTAGATATTGTTCATTAAACCATAATTTCTTTATTTTCAGTGTACACATCAGAGTTCACGTGCCTAGTCAAGAAGTCCATCATAAGGAAGTGATTAAAATTCACGATCATGGTGGCGGCGGACATGGGGGAGGTGGACATGGCGGAGGTGATGACGACCATCACGGCGGTGGTGGATTTGGCGGCGGATTCGGCGGCGGATTCGGCGGTGGTTTCGGAGGAGGTGGCGGCTACGGTGGCGGCCACGGAGGAGGCGGAGGATACGGAGGAGGTGGCGGAGGACATGGAGGAGGCCATGGCGGTGGACATGGCGGTGGAGTTTCACATACCATCATAATCAATGGTGGAGGTGGAGGCGATCATGGAGGTGGCCACCACGGAGGCGGTGGTGGTGGATACGGAGGAGGTGGAGGATATGGCGGAGGAGGAGGTTATGGAGGAGGTGGCGGACACGGAGGTGGTGATATCCACGGAGGAGGCGGCGGATACGGTGGTGGAGGAGGCGGATATGGCGGAGGACATGGCGGTGGAGGTGGACATCAAGTTATAACACTGCATGGAGGAGATCCGCTGCCAAGTGGAGGTATGTATAACTTGATCTTAGAAAATGCGCAATAAACAATTTATTATAAGTTATCTTGAATAATATTAATTACATAGTAATTTGTTTGAACAGGAAACTTCAGTTTATGTCTTATGCGTATATTTATCATGATTATAAGCAAGAATAATTGAAACAGATGTCTTAGAAGAAACCTACGATAGAGAGATATTATTCTATTTTAATACACTAAAAATGGCGTTACCAGTGAAGGTGACCTTTATCCCTTATTAAATTGTCCAATCCTACTTTCTTTTATCATTTTCTTTACTACTATCGTTTATATCATTCTTGTTAGATGATCTAATTAGGTACCTAAGTTAAAGTAAGCCCCTAGATATAAGAAATCGAAAACCATCAACGAAATAATGGATTGTAAGCTAGTGTAAGACCAAAGGGAAACAGAAAACAGACTTTTAGGGACTGAGTGAAAGATCGAGATGGAAATTGGTGTTCACATTATAAAAAACTTGCGAAATATAAATTTCATAGCCATGAGAATAAGGCTAAAATGGGTTGTTGTATTTAAGGTGCTCATTACGTTACTTAGTAATTTTTTCTGCAGCTTTATCCAATTTTTCCGATTTTTTTTTATGAACAAAAGAGATCAGTATTCCTTTCTAGTTCTAATTGAAAACTAGCTAAATCTTTATTTGTAAGTTTTGGTAAGATTTCTTTCTGTATGATAAAGTTACTTAAGAAAGAGGTTATTTAAAAGTCAAATAAGTATCTTACTATCAGGTGTCAGCTGTCTATTATCACGTCAGTACAGTAGACATGTTTCGCATTAAAGTCATATCCTATAATCAATCTTTTACCTTAATCCATCAACAAGTTTGTATGGCTCCTTTAGTACATGTCGAGAAGGGCAATAAAAGGTCTCAGCACTACCTGTATAATATTCTATGGCTAAGTTGACAACTTGACCTGAAACTCTGCTGTCTGATATCCCATTTAGTAAGTGTTAGTTTATTCTGAGATACAGGACTACCCGCTTTTGATACATTTTGTAGGTCTATTTTTATATGGTACATTTTATATACTCTGAATTTGATATATGATTCTCTAGTAAAATGTGTTTTTGAGATAAGACGTACAAATTAATATTCAATAAGATAAATGTAGTAAACCTTATTCCCCATTCAATTCTTCTACATTCCTTGCACAAGAAACAAACTCGGTCCCTTTATTACTACATGAAAGAAATATCTAGTCCAAAGAAAAGTAATGCGAAAAATGTAGTTATTTCTGATATTATATTAATAAAAATTATTTTTAGAACAAAATATCATAAAACATTTTTTTGTTTGTGTTCTAGGCGGTGGTGGATACGGAGGAGGCGGAGGTTTTGGAGGAGGAGGTGGATTTGGCGGCGGACACGATGATCACCACGGAGGTGGAGACTTTGGAGGAGGCGGTGGATATGGAGGTGGTGGAGGATTTGGAGGAGGCGGTGGCTACGGAGGTGGGGGAGGATTCGGAGGAGGCGGCGGCGGTGGCGGTGGTTACGGAGGAGGCGGCGGCCACGATCACCACGGAGGAGGAGGCGACTTTGGCTCCTCAGGATATGGCGGCGGCGGCGGATTTGGAGGAGGTGGCGGCTATGGAGGCGGTGGTGACCACCATGGAGGCGGTATTGATTTCGGCAGTAGCGGATATGGCGGCGGCGGTGGATTTGGCGGAGGAGGAGGTTATGGAGGCGGAGGAGGTGGTGGTCACGATCATCATGGCGGAGGAGGTGACATAGGAGGTGGATTCGGAGGAGGAGGTGGTTTTGGCGGAGGCGGTGGATACGGAGGAGGCGGTGGTGGTCATGATCATCACGGCGGAGGAGGTGGAGGAGGCGGCGGAGGTGGTTACGGCGGCGGCGGTGGATACGGAGGAGGCGGTGGTCATGATCATCACGGCGGAGGAGGTGGACGAGGAGGTGGAGGAGGTGGATTTGTTGGAATAATTCACGACCACCTCGGCGGAGGTGGCGGAGGAGGCCACGGTGGTGGCGGAGGATATGGAGGTGGAGGCGGATATGGAGGCGGTGGCCACGGCGGCGGAGGAGGACATGGAGGCGGAGGAGGACATGGAGGTGGAGGTGGACATGGAGGCTATGATTAAGCATCGAAAACATATGTAATACCTCTTTCAAAAGTCTGTTTATATTAAGTAGAATATTTAAGTGATGTGTTGTTGTTGAGAATGTCTGTTAATATTTTTATTTTGTAAATATTTTTTTATTTTTGTAATATAATTTGTTAAACAAAATATCTTATGTCTATATTCTTCACTAAAAGGTATGCAACCTAACAATCATTTTATAGATAAAGATTTTTATATTCTTGAAAATTCTAGATAATTTTTTCTCCTAATTTTTATACATTGTTGTCTTTATTTTTAATTCTCAAAGGACCAAATGGGATAAGAGCCAAAATACAAAAAATTTTAACTACATATTTTAAAGTTCTAGGTTAACTATGCTCCTCTGTCTATCAAACCATACATATATCTTTTTAAGCAATTCATTTATTTTCTGTTTGGATGAATGTGACAGTAATCTGACCATCTTTTTGTTCTCTATTTTCCAGTATTATATATTTTAACGTATTCTGGTTTATTTCTTGGTCAACATATCTCGAAAAATTCTCTATTCTTTTTATAGCATTCCTTATTTTTTTCTGTAATGTTTTAAGTACCAAATTAAAAAACATCAGAGATAAGGACTACAACAGGTGAACCTACATACTGACCTACAGATTCCAAAAAAATTCCAGATACCAGTGACTTCTTTATCACAAAGGGTAATATTAGACCTAATAGATAATAAAAGGTAATACTACCAAATATCTAAAAAAAGAATCAAGCTATGATTTTCCATCCGATTATTCTCGAGTTCTCTTAACCTTCTTCGCTGAAATAGTGCAAAAGTCCAAAAAAGGTTGCTTTTAGAGAAAAACTCGACAAAATATTCAAATTAAAACTTAATTGAAGTTTACAATAAGTTTATTGACATTTTAATTTACACTTCGGAAATTGTCCTTAAAATACATAGTTTTAAAACGAAACATTAGAATAGTAATTACTTTAAAACTTAATCTTTTCTTTAAATCACAATATGATATAGAAATGGCATTAGAAAACATTAGATTCATAATACAGACAAGTGCTTGGAGTGCAATTATATCTATGAATAAATAACAATACAGATATGTATGAAATCCCAAAAAGAAACTATAATAAAGCCAAATCAGAACTAGAAGCACTATTACAGAAGCTATACAGAAGCAACCTACATAAGCAACAGATTGTTCTCGTTGGAGTGGAACGCGAAAAATCAAGCAGCATGTATCAAAAGCAGCCTATTGTCAAAAGACAACCAATGTATTAATACAGGTACTTAATACTACTCTTATCTACAAATAGGGCGAACAGGGCTAACAGAACTTACTTTGGACTAAAGCAGTTCTTAACATCACACATAATTAGCAGAAAAACGAAGATACTAATATATGGAACTCTTATTAAAACCTGTCCTGACATACATATCTTAACAACTATTCAGTTCATTTGTTCTGTTATTATTAAATGTTTTTTAATAAAGAAAAACTTCATTGAACGTTATTCCTACATGACCATTATGTAATAGACATACATTTGATTTATTGTTCCAATTAAAGAAACAGATTTTCAAAATAAATGGGGTAAAATATATAAACGTCAAGGCACTAATCTTCTTAACTCAACACCACATTTAGAGAAGGCAAAACAAAAAAGCAAACAGAAACCAGAGATCCCTCCAAAAATAAAAAGAGCGGTAAAAAGGAACGTTTTTATAGAATGGGAGTCGGAAAACAAAAGAGAACCTTTTCTGCCGATGAAGAAAATGATGATGCTGCTTGCATTTACTGTACAGAACTGTACCAAGTTGTCTAAAAAAGGTGAGCTATGGCTATGCTGTTGTTCGTGTAAAAAATGTTTGTTTGGAGCTTTCTACCGTGTCATTTTGTCCGCCAGGTGGGGTAAAATCATCGAGCAAAAAGATAAAAGAGGGAATCTAATCGTTATGAAAAGGAGACCAAAAAAGTGGCCTCTGATGGCGGACATATCCGGAAATGCAAAGGCGCTAAATTTAAATTTTCCAACACTTGTTAACAATTAATAGCTGTAAAATATTTTTCAGACAAGAAAGTTTTAATTAAATATTAACGATAATAGTTTAAAAAGTGACACAATTGGTAAAAAACTTCAATATAAATAAAATTTCATGTGACAGTTGGGACAAACAATAACATAACCAAACTAAATTTGACTTCTTAAACAAGGAAAGAGACTATCTTTCCTTGTTTAAAGTGGCCTCTCAAGATAGCACTTCCTGTCTAACAATATTTTTGTCCCCACTTCCTTTACATTCCCTCTTTTATCTTTTTGCTCGATGGGTAAAATGAAATTTTCTATATTCATTTTTATTTGTTTGGTTAAAAGTTTATACTTTCCCCTACTTTGTTAAAAACTTGCCTGAAGTGTTTAAATACTTTAGTTTGTATTCTAGGTTTTGTTTAAGAAAATGTTTTCTTTAAGTACGATTTTTGATTTTTTTTAAAATGTATGTCATTTTGTACACACTTTACCTACAGGCATTATCGTTATCTTATAAATTTTGTCCGTTGTTTCCTAAAATTTCTTTTCCGTAAACCCATATGGGCATTTTCCAATTATCCATAATTGGTTTTCATTTACTCGTTACCATTTTATTTTCTTTGTTCATGTAACCTTGATTCTGCATATTATTGTTGTGTGTTAGTGTCAGTTGTCTCACTCTTTTCTTTTCTTCAGCTGTTTCAAGTCACTCTTCATCGAACAAATTTTTCTCTGTTTTATTTTGCTTCTTTTGTGGAATGATATTTCATCATTTACCATAGCTATGTTCTGTACTTTCCCACAGATTTCCTTTGCTTAGTTGATCTTAATCTTCTAGCTTTTCATTTATGTATGTTCCTTTTGTTTCAATCTTTTAGATTTTCTATTTTATATTGTCTTCTTGTATCTCTTGTTCCTCATAAATGATTATTTATGAAGAGGTATATTTTTAATTTGATTATAAAAAGATATTCTCCAATACATTTAGTGTAGCCACCTAACGAGTGAAAGTAAATTTATGGTTACTAAAACACATTTCGATTCTAAGTTGGATATTTGTTTATATAGATGGCACTATTTGGTAGATACATGTAAATTTCAGCTAAATAAAATTACAAGAATTGGATAGTAAAAGCAGGTTAATGCTTTTTAAAGCAGTATACTGTGGTAAAAGTAAAACTGTCTTGAATTTTCAGTGCATGTCTCGATTTTTTATAACTCGATTTTGCTCCCGAATTTATTGCATTTGATCTGAATTTTCCTAAAAAAAAAGAAGTAAAGAAAGAGTGAGATATATAATGATATAAAAGATTAGAATCGTGCATTTATTTGATTTTATATTGAAAACTGTGATACAATAATTGTATCTATCACTGAAGGCTTGTTAACAGAAGTGCTTATTTTATTAAAAGTCTAACGATCCAGTCCCAAGAATGTATAAACAGCAAAATTTACATCTCACCTATTTGTCACTGTATTAAAAGTATATCAGCTGTTTAGCATAATTACATAAACCTAAAGATCATAGATAAATAATATAATATTAGAAAAGATTGCAAAGAATACGAAATAAGAAATATTTTATAAAACGCATATAAAAGATGGGTGTAACCGTTGATTGAATATGTAACTAGATATATTAGCAAAATATCAAGCGCCATCTAGTGATCTTTAAAGAAAATGGATCAAGAATGAACAAAGTACTGCCGTCCGTTAGCTAAAATATCGCTAAGCCACAGCGCCCGATTTTGAGATATGAGCAAAAAAAGGGGGGAAATTTTCAAGACATTGCTGCTTTAAAACTAATTATCCTAGAAGTATGTATGTTACTTCAAAAGAAACGTGTTTTAATTCTCTTCCAATTAAATTGAGTTTCAAACAAAATTTACTTATTTTATGGTATAAAAAACAATAGAAGTGGTTTTAGCTGTGTGTCATTTATTATTTATTACATAGGAAAACATTTACTAAAACATCACTAACCGTACTTTAATGACGTTGTAGTTTAGTATTTTGGAGTAAATGTTTGATACAATTTTTACATAACTAAATTATTAATAATTCCGAAACTATAAAATCACTAAGGTATTTAAAGACGTTATAGTTAAGGTTTTGATTTAATTTTTAAAACACAACCTTGTCTAAAACATCACTAAAGGTGTTTAATTGTTTATTGGCTAAAATAGTTTACTCCAGTAGCCATTTTTTATATTATATGCTTAACTAGAACATCACATATTTGATAACCTTTCCTTAATAGCGATATTTTAGCTAAGTAATAATGCCTTAGATTTGAAGCAAAACAGTAAAATGTCGTTAACTAACAAAATAAAACGGCAAACTTTGGACAAAAGAAACATTTATTATTTTTAAAGAAAAGAAAAAGGTATAAAAACCAAAGTAGCACTCATAGGCCAAATAAAAAATCGAACAAAAAAACAAAACTTATCTAATGAATATCAATTTTTTAGACGAGAAGAATGTAATTATTATGTACTAGTTTCATTACCCTGCTCGTCATTAGTTTTTGTTGGTAATGTTTTCCAAAATGTCAATTTATGTGGCGGTACTATAGGCGTTAATTTGTCAATTAACGTAGTTTTTCGGTTAAGTTCAACGCCTTTTGGAGAAGTGCGAAATGTGAGAGTCATACAACTTGGATTTTTTAAATATCTGTCAGTCATAAATTGCAGATATATAAAATCTTCATTAAAATTATTTTTATATAGTAACCCAAAAGAATTTCGTTTAAAACAAACATGTTTCATATTTTTTAAGTAACCTCTTGGGTTACTTTTTTGTATCCGCCTCTCACTTATCAAATTTGGAACATTAACAAAGTTTTGTGGTGACATAGATTTGACTATCACTTTGGAGTTATTTATCGAAGCAACTGCGTCTTCGAAATCGGTAAAGTCATACAGCTTACCCTTCTTCTTCATTGCAACTTCTACCTGATGGTGAACTTGATCTGCGCTCATAAA